GTACTAGATTGCTATGATACCAAACTTCAGAAAAAATGTCAACATTTAGATTAAGCTCAAAGTATTTTTGTAAAAATTGTAAACTTACATAAAATAAGGCTTCATTTCTACTTTGAGGATACGAGGTGACGAAAGTAAGAATTAAATTTTTAAAAGATAACCAACTAAGAAAATTATATTTTTAACAATAGAGGACATACAAACGTATTTTTTTTTTTTTTTTCAAAAACAAAGTTATATAACAAATTTAATTTTAAATACAATGAATTTCAAAATCTTCAAAAAGAGAATGAATTGTATTTTGTGTCAATGGTACAACTTCAAAACTTGAAGTTCACTTTCAGTTGATGATGATATATACTTGCACTTTATTGTGCTTTCTGATTGTGGTATAAAGCAATGGAAGGATCTGTTTTTTTTAAATTTTCTGACAATTATTGTATCTTTCATCCATGATATGAGAATTAATTTTATTTATTTCCTCAGTTCCTACAAGAACATAAGTAATCCCTTTAATATTTTCTTTACAGAAATTCTACATGTCCAGGGGTGTCAGGTTTTGCTTGTTTTGGGGCCGCTGTAAACTGGCTTTCGTTACACATCGCTTTGTACTACCCCCTACGCAATCGCAGCCATTTTTGCCACGATATGATGCAAAAGAAGCGCCATTCAATGTTAAGTCTGAAATGTAATTCCATACAGTAATCCATATTGATAAAATTCTGTCTGTTTATGTACTGGTTCGTAGCCTCATCAGAGAACTATAGCAGTTATTTTATAAAAGGTCGATATTCTTTAATGAAAGCGGTGAGTTGAATTTGAAATGCATAAACAGTAATGGTATTATGTTCCAGGTGATCGCTAATGACACAGATGCTATGGTTCTTTATTTCCTCTTCGTCTTTATACTAAAATACAAATGGATGAACTGTAGCATGCCTGTTAACCCAGTGGTACCCTTTGGCTTCATCTTGTACCACAAAAGAATAATTTATTGAAAAATCAACCAGTACTATGCATTCATCTGTCAACTTTAGTTTTTTCTCCTTCAAAAATTGGCCTTGCGGTTTTGCAATAAAATGATGAAGCTTTAAATTTTCAAGTTTATCAATCAGTATTTCAAAAAACTCTTCTCTTGGTTTTACAATTGTCATCAGTTCGGTTCTATTTTGGATCACCCATTGCATATATGCTATGTTGTCTGGCATTGAGCCCTTTTCACATTCTTCAAACAAATCAACCAATGTCTTTTTTCCTGCACATTTTTGACAACTTCCCATCATACAATTAAAACTATCCATTTTGCATACCAGAATTTCCAAGAGGTTCTTGTAATTAACTTTGAGCTTGGCATCATCAATCATCAACTTTATATTTTGGTGATATAAACACAGACATTATGAGTTCCAGAACTTCCCACAATCACACAGCACTTTGGTCTTAACTCACAAAATTTTGATCTTCCTATTTTAATGTGAGGATTGGTGTTCTTAAACTCCCAAAATAATTTGTTTAAATTATTTACTTTACTTACAAAGAATTTATTTACTTATTTACTTATTCACGCCAATCGGCTTTGTACATATAGGTAACAATTTATATACTACACTGCACAATCACATCCAATACACTATAACAATTTCTAAATACAACCAATCGATGCATATAATTAAATTAATTAAATTAAATTGAGATTATAAACCGTAAGTATCACATCATATCGTTGTGTTTACAATCTTCGTAATAAATATTTTAAACATAACACATTATCTGTTGTGTATAATTTTCTTTATCTGTATCGAGAATGATGATGTGGATCCCCCAAAGAAGTTTATGCTGGAACAATATTCATTTACTAGGTTCGCTATTCTATTTTTCGGACCATAATATACATAATTTTTAGTATTAATTGAATTCAGTAATCTATACGATCCAGGTTTTGAATAGACAAATTCAAATTGTTCTAATATTTCTTGGCATTCAATTTCGCAATTAATGATCTTAAAAAAATATATAAGATCTGCAATTTGTCTACGCTTGGAAAGTGAGTGTATTTCAAATTGATCATAGACTTCATCGGTGCTCATGTCATGACCTCTGATGCCCATATAGTACTTGACGTATTTACAGAACTTCTTTTGAATATTTTCGATTCGATCCACAAGAATGTCGGAGTATGGTGACCAGATTGTTGAGCAATATTCCATTATTGGACGGACCAAAGTAAGATATAGGTATATTAACGTATAGACATTGTTAAATTCCCTTCCAGATCTGAGTATAAATCCCAACGTCTTGTATGCTTTGGATTTCATCTTGTCCACATGATTCGAGAACTTCAATTTATTGTCGATAATCACGCCCAAGTCCTTTACAGATTCGACTTCCTCAAGTTGGTGTCCACTAAGATAATAAGCTGCAGGTTGTCGTTGAGGAGAGCGAGAGAAAGACATCACCACACATTTATCAATGTTCAGTTTTAGCCTATTCCTCAAACACCAACTGCTAAGTTCCTCAATATCTTGCTGAAGATGCGTATATCATCAGAATCAGTAATTTTTCTAAATATTTTCAAATCATCTGCATAAAGTAAATAATCTGAAAAGAATTAACTGCTAAAAGAATTAACATCTAAAAGAATTAACTGCTTTTGTCTCCCAATCTTCATACAATTTCCATTTACAGAAACAATCTTTTTTCCCAAGCATCAGACGACTGTTTTCATCATCTTCGTACAAACTGTAACTTATGTATTGTTTCATTTAGCAAGTTTGAAGCTTTCCATTTTTGTAAGTTAGGTAAAATATCATCTTCTTTTGACACTTTAAATCCATTGCTTACTTTCGTTTGACTCCAAGATCTAGAAAGTAAACTGATAATTTTTATTTTGTTTTCTTTGTTATCGACTGCACATTTATTTTTTAATTTTGCTATCAGATCATCATAGTCAGTTTGTTAATTTTGAGTATTATCTGGATTTGATGATGGAATTTGTTTTTCAAATGAAACTTTCAGTTGTTTTTTTTTAATATTTGTGGAAACTTTATCAATTTTTCTTTTCAAAGCCACAGATCTCTTTTTTTCTTGTAATGTTCTGATTTTACAAGTAGGCGATAATCCTAAAATGGCACATTTTCATTGTTTCTGAGGAGTCACTGAATTCTTTATCTAAACTTTCATTATCTCTATTGTGAACAATAAAAATTTTTGAATCATATATTAGACACGATTTTCTAGGTATGAGATTATCGAAACATTTTTATTTCTGTAATAATGAGCCAAAGTTATTTCGATCAATCCTTTTGCTAGTCTTTTTATGAATTTTGAAGATCTGAGCAAGACTGACCGAAGGGTTGATGAAATTTTTAAAAATGTTTTATCACATGGTACTTACCAACAGACTTGATATTAAAGTTTATTCTTAACGAAAACAACACTTTTTCATCTTCACCAAAATCTTTAATTGACTTAATGTCCTTTGGAAAAACGCCATTCACAGTTTTTATGGCAAAACTTCATTAGTAATCTCACCTATACAACACTGACGCTCCATTTTGATCAACTGTCACACAACTATACAAAAAGTCTCAGAAACTGCGACACGTTTTGATGGAAAGGGAAGGCAACAATGAAGCCACAAACTCATACACACTTCAGGAGCCTGAGCGATCTCAAAAGCGTGTTAATCCTTGGCTCACCACATTGGTTCTTTCTGATACACGAACCCCAGGTTGTTGATATTCTCAGACGGGATTAGAGGTGAGGGGTGAAGTTTCGCAGTAGCTTCGAAGGCACCTTCTGACCCAATGCCCTTTGATTCTCTTATATTGTTTCTTAACTTAGTGGCGATTTTTGCATGTAAGGAGTACTCTGCGACCATCAATATCTCTGAAGAAAAGTTCAGAAATAATAAGCAAAATGGCGATTTAAACGCGAAAAAATTAACAAAACGTGGAAGTTATTTATTTTTTACCTTTTATAAGCTATTTTATATTACTCCATTTAACTTGTAACTTCAAGATGACCTCTTTTTCAATTACTAATAATTTTGATTTAAAGTAAAATAAAGTAATATAAAAAATTATAAATTAGGCAACATATTTATTAATAATAAATTGTTGAAACGTTCTGTTTATTAATACCATAGTGTAAATTAAATATTTTCAATCAGTGCAGAATTTAGTTTAAAGTAGCTTCAAAATAATATGATTACTATCACTAGTTATCCCCATGTAGAAATGAAGTCTTATTTTGCATAAGTTTACAATTTTTAAAAAAATTCTTTGAGCTTAATCTAAATGTTGACATTTTTACTTAAGTTTGGTATCATAGTGATCTAGTACCTGTACATTTTTTTAAATTTTTATCTGGTCCCCCAACAGAAACATTGCAGTTCAAAATGTGGAAAAATCCCAATTTTTAAGAGGATGGAATTTTGAAGTGGTAAGTTGCTTACCATTGATACTGTATTCCTTCTCCGAAAAAAATTATTCTCTGAAAATTGAAATTATTTCATTCGCAGTAAATAGATTTGGTTGTAAATATTTTCTAAATAGAAACACATAAAGTGAAAAAATGATATTTCTATTTGTAGGCCAAAGTGTACTGAATCCAATGTCGTTTATTCTAAAATGCTAGAACAACCCAGCACTGAATAATTTAGAGAAGGGTAAAGGTCTACAAACGAGAAAAATGGCACTCGGCGGAAAACAAAAATGGCCACCATTACTACACCAAATTTTATAAAAATAAATTAAAAACGTTTTTGAACAACCACACCATAATTCGAGATGATCGAGCCACCAATTTATTAAGTTCTGGACCACTTAAAATGGATGGAGCCCAAGTTGTGATGCTAAGTGATCTGTGATTGAAAATTCTATTTCTTTTATGCCAATCTGACACAGAATAGCACATTATTACTGTTTTTTTAAACATCAATTGCAGCAAGAAATTCTTAAATAGTACATACTATATTAAATTCACAAAAACTGACTTACCAGGATCCAAAGATGGCCATAACCGCATCTGTTCTGCAGCAATCTCTAATGCAGAAGGCTCTTGAACACGGGAGTATCCTGAACGACGATCTTTCCAAGGAAATTCTTTGCTCTAGAACATATGTTTCTTTGTAAGATCTAGCACACCACCTTCAGTCCATGTTTTTTATGATAACTCATAGCATTTCACAATTAAATGCAAGGAGATAAAATCTTGTAAACTATTATAGAACACAGCATGCTAGATCAAAAAATCTCAGGATTAGCAGGTTTATGGAATGTTCTGCTTCACAACACAAAAATGTGAAATTATACACTCAGTTAAAAAATTATATTTTAGTTTAAAAAGCTATCTATCCTGCTTGATCAAGGTCCTTTTAAGAGTGAAAAAATCCTTTGCACACCATTCTTCAGAAGGAATGTAAAGCCAACTGCTGTATGTTGTAGATTTATTGCATTTTTAAAAAACTCTCAAAAGCCTAAACAAAGTGTTTGACGTAAATTCAAATAGCCTGTTTGTTCGCCCAAGTGAAATGCTTGATGGTGAAAGGAGCTAAACAAAATTTGTGTGGTCAGGCAGTAAAGCAGACCTAATGGCCTAGCCACATAAAATAAGGTATTATTTATTGATTGGTTGGTTGGTTGATTGATGAATATTTAATGTTGCATTCCACACACAATACAAAAGTACTTTGATAATGAACAGAACTTATTGTAAATGCAAAAATTTGCACTTTGATAATACAGTGCGATCCACATGTGAAAAATGATGTAAGATTATTGATAGTTCCTTATAATATGATCTAATACCGGGTATATTAAAGTAAAATTCGTTTTCGCATTTACTCCAAAAATGTGGCAGTGAACATTGAGCAGTGGTAGCAGTAATTACAATAGAAACACAGAAGTAATGGTCTAAGATTGGAATTGTTGAGGGCAGGAGATTGCCCAAAGAATGTGGGGTATTAGGATTGAAGTCATGTTCAGAGGTTGGTGACACATGTAATGAACAAGGTGTGCAAGCTTGAAAATGTGTGTAGCAAACAAGATAAAGGGTAGAGTTATACGCAGAAGTAAAGGTAGTGATTCTTTAGATTAATTCACTGGTGCTATAAAACAAATAAACTTATAAGGAGCAATATTAATCAAACAATACGAAAATATTTAAAATACAAAGCAGGTGAATTCAAACGCATAACATTTGTTTACAAAATATTATTCTTTCTTTGAAATTTGTCATTAAAAATATAATTACTTTTAGAATATGAAAAATTCTTTAGGGTGAATGAAACATTTATTTTTTTTAATGTTGTTCCAGAAAGTTCTAGACATCCACTTGCAAAAAGATTTCAGGGTCTCTGCAAGATTAGAACCTAATGTTGCAACACAATTCATCGAAGATGACTATAGATTTCTTAATTTTATTTATAACAATTAAATTTAGCATGATATACAATTAATGAATTAACAGAAATAATAAACTGAAACAAAACAAATGCTCACTTCTCGAGGGCTGATAGGGCTGAGACCAGCATCACAACCCAATCTCATGGGAGGGACACCATCTAAGCGAGGAAGGTACAAAGCCTTGATATCTTTCTGCACATCTTGGTAAAATGCTGCCTCCCAGAACTGTTGATTCTGCCAAACTGCATGTTCCTATGGAAAGAAAATCACTGTCATATTAAATGCTTCTTTCTTTTCATCTACATAAAGCACGCTCTTTAATCCAGTGCTAAGTCTCTTTTCAAGTCTCTAAGTCACGTTCAAAAAGAGAGGAATAATTTTACAATGAAACTACTGTAGTATAAAGATGATAACACTGGTAAGACATTTCATTTAAAATAGTTTTGAAATCATCAATCATACAATTCTTACTTACCTGAATGCATGTGTATGCAAATTGAATTACTCCTGTGCACAATTTGCGACAGAACGCTGTAGCTAATGGAAGAAGTGCAGCAGCAACTCCATGCCTCATACCATAAGCGAGTCATCCCTTTAAACAACAATACATCGATTTTGGATTCTAAATGTACTGTAAACTTTTATTATACTTCATAATCTTTAATGCATTTTTTTGCAAGATTTTAAAATCTTTATTATTAAATTCCTTATGTTACTTGCACATAATATACAATAAGTGGAGACCTCCATTATCCACAGTTTGATTATTTTGGGAATTAATTATGAGGAGAGTAGACCCCGCAGGGCCAAGTTAGAAATATCAGATTGCTTACATTGTTACTCTAAGAGAACATTACAATGTTGTGTATGCAGAAAGTGTAATACAAGCACTGAAATTCATGATATTTTCGTTAAAAACTTATTTTTGTTTTTGTGATAGCACAGGAGCTGTGGAATTTTTCACCGATATTGTTGTAAAAAGCATAATCATCAATCTTACAAAGAAAATTCAACTATTGGGTATGATTGAAAATTGAGGAAGTTATGATCAATTGAATTTGCCCAATTTCCCTTCCTCTTTTTCCCCCTTCTTTCTTTTCCAAATTCTTATCCAGGTATATTTGCAGCAGTGTTGACTTGTTTTTTGACATTTCTATGAAACTGACCCTTTAATTTAACACTGGAACTATTTAACAAAGTATTTCATTTTTCCAGGGTTTTTGATTTTTTGTAACTATCTGTTCTCTTTATTTTGGTTAAAGGAGGTTCTACAGTACATGACCCCAATCTTAACTTAATTGCAGTTGTTGTCAACTGCATTATACTTCATCAAATGATTTTTTATTAAAATTCACAAATTCTTTATTCTTACCTGCAGAGCACAATTCATAAGTCGTACAACCAAGTCAAACTGCTGATGCTCCAACATAGCCTTATTACCTAAAACATGCTGAGCTAACTCAGTGCAAAGAGCTAATCGGGCAGCTCTAGACTTCAAAGCACGTAGAACTGCTGGAAAAGTCTTACGAGCATCACTAATTTTGTTCTCAAATATGCAGTTGATACAGTTGCGCAGAACCTGTATTATACAAAAAAAACACTTTACCATTGCAAAAAACCTTGGTATCATATGAACTATCTTTTTATTCATTTATTTATGAAAATATCCTTTACATAGGTGGTAGTAAGTAGTACATATCAAAAAGATGAAGTAAAAATACATCAGAAATTAAACATAAGTAACACACATCAGAAATTTTGTAGCAGATAACAAATTATTAATATTAGTTCAATTACTTCAATTATCAGTTCAATTATATGTTGAAGGCATTTCTAAAGGAGTTGCGGAGCTTTGTAGTATCGTTGTTGGAAAAAAATTACCAGAAGTATAAATAATTTGCCCTGCTGCTTGTTAAGTATAATGGCTTTTGAAGTTGTTCCTGCATTGAGGAATGCTGAACTGTAGCCGGGTCAGAATATCCGGACATTTAATTTTATGGTATATAATACGACAAAATGCAGAAAAATAAGGTGATGAAACTATCTTCTCGTAGTTAGAATGGAAATATTTAGTCGCATTCATATGGTCTAGATTACACATAGGTGTGCAATCAATATATGCGAGATGTCGCAGGAGTCTCTTTTGAACTCTTTCTCATAGGGTGGAAGATGCGATTGTATGTGGTGACCAGATTACTGTTGTACATTTCAAGACAGACTTAACAAAGACAGAAAATAGAAGCTTGTATGTCTCTTATTCTGGTATCATATAAACTTTTTTGTGAGATGATTATTAAGGTATCCAATATCTGAAAAATATTAATGCCATAAAGTACCATTATGAGCTTTCAGTAACTATAATAACTAGATAGGTTTAGGAAAATGCCTACTATTCAGACCCTGTTTACTTATTGGTAACAGATGCTAATTTTACTCGTTCCCTGCCACAGTGTCAGCCGCATGGATTTTAAAAGTAAAATGAATGAGTTAATTAAATAACAGAACTACAGTATTTTTTAAGAATGTACAAGGAATACCCATGAGTAGAAAGGTGTTTCATTTACAAATAATACTTTAATTACATAAATTATTTGTAAGGCACAGTGATGCTTCACTACACATCTTAATTTTATAACTGAGGCACACATTTCATAACAGCCATTGTAGCAGTTGATTTAGTGACAGGTCCATCCAAAATTTCACTCCCAGTCCCCCAGTCAGTAATATGGAGGAAGAGGGATGCTGTTGGTCGATATCAAGTAAATAATAAGTATACATCTTGAATAATTCATGGTGGCTACAAAGTGGCATATACACAGCACCAACTATCACATCACCATAATTCAGATTTAACCATACATAGAGCTTTTCAATTGTGGTCATAAGCAGTTAAAACTGAACATAAATCTAATTATTGACTACACGCAGGACCCATACACCATGCTTGTGTTGGCTAGTATGCACATCACAATCACAGCGGAATATGGAGTAATTTTGCAGTTGAAGTTAATCAGAGTAGTTACTGTTGAACCAGGTTTCAACAAGTATTATCACATCATATTCTATCACAGAGGATACGCAGGTATCACAAAAAGTGTTTCAGTTTAGTTCTCATATCTAATCTAATTCTAAAAATAAATGTATATATAATTTTCATTTTTCTGAATTTTGACAGTTCCTTACTGACCTTACGTACAATCGTACGTACTTACGTACAACAGTAACAATCCTTATCACTCCATTTTCTTAAAACTGAAGATGTCATATGAATTTGAATGCCACATTCTATATCTTTAGAGCTTAAATGCTTGTGTTAACTTGCAATTCTTCACCCGATTTATTTATTTATTTTTTTATTATTTTTTTTTAAATAAAATAAATTTTTAAAAAATAAATCAAGCAAAAATGTGTCTTTGGTGACTGCTGGAATAAAATGCACGACACAACCACAATACCAACTGTCTCAAAAGGAAGTCAATAACTCCAATTTCTGACATAGATATCTTACTGAGTCAAACGTTTTTCCACCAAGGTAAAGTAAGGAAGTGTGTGTAATTTCAAACAATTAAACATTAGGTCTTTTTTTTGTTTTCCATAAACAATGACTGGCTAATATTTTTTACAAAGAAATAAGTATTATGTAGGTAAGTCATTAGGGCCTCTTTGGCCAAGAGTTGTACACCACGTGGGGTACCTTACACAATCATGATTCAATAGAGTGAATTCAACTGTGCTCAAATTTATTAAAATATGAGTGTTAATCACCATCCAATTGTAAGTTTTAAATCACATTTCCTCTTGTGTATTTTTAATGCCTTAATATCTAATGTCTAATAATAGTTTCAGTAGTAAATTTTAAAAAATTCTTATTAATACACATATACATATTAAATGATCAAAACAAAATTGCAGCCATCATCATCATCATCATCATCATCATCATCATCATCAATTGCAGGACATTAGGCTTATCACCTGTTCCTGTTTGTATAGTAGACCTGATACCTCCAGGTGTTCATTTTCTCTCTATTTCTTCATTGATCTTCCAATATCTCTTTACCCTGCGGAATTCTAATTGAATGCTTTGTTTGGAGGCTTTTCATTCTTTATACTCTTAATGTGTTCCAACCAATTGCTCTTGTAGTCTTATGTCTTCTACAACATTGTTTGTTTTAACTTTTCTTATAATAGTGTTCCTTTGCCAATCCAAATATATTACTCATGAGATATATTGGAGGAATCTCATTTGTGGTTTCCAATCTTTGTTGATTATGCTCTTTGGAGCCCAGGTTTTTGATCCAGAAAGAATCATAGGCTTGGATATATGGTATATTGACCATTCTCTTTCTTCAGTCATGTTTCTGCCAAAATGTTTCATACTTATTTTGATGGATCTATCAGATTTCTGGATTTTATTTTCTAGATCTTTTCTTTTGTCTGATATTGTTGCCTAGATAACAAAATGTTGCCACGTATCCTATTACCTCCCCTCATTACAGTCTTAACTTGTTTAATTTCTTTCCTTCTTCAAGTCACAACTTTAAAGGTATGAAAACCGAAGTGAATCTACTAAACCTAGTCAAAATAATAGTTTGTATGGTATCTTACCTCAAGGCGCCTTGCAGAATTGCTCACCGAATGACGGGAGTCATAAACATGTGATATGTGAGGTCCCATGGGCACAATACGAGGCTGTTGAGGCCTCAAAGATGACAACCTGAAGCAAAGGATAAGAGTAAATATTAAAAAAATATTATTCTGGATTCGTAAGACTTGATTTTCCTCTTTAATTACTTGCAACTAATATCATAACAAAATGCTCATAAGCTGTCTGCTCTGCTAAAGTTTTCAAAAACCTAACCTTAAAAATATAAAATTATAAAAAAATTCAAATAAATTCTGTTTTGGTATTTTTAATAAGGTTAAAATATAGTATTTTTAACCAAACATTATTTTTATCGTAGTTTTTCTTCATGTGGCATGTAGCACGTGAGTAGTGTGTAGCATGAAGAATGCAGAGTTTCTGTGACCTACCTAAAACTGCTATTGGTAATGAGTGGTCTCATTAAACAAAGTCAACTAAAAAGAAAATTTTACAACTGCAATGCACAACTTAGAGAATACTTCAATTCTCCAAAGAATATGTTATCATAAATGGAAATTAACCCTGATCTCTTGGTTTACGCTTAAGTTGCTCTGACCTCCAAGCCTTTGGGACAACCCCTGCTTTTAAATGGTTGTTGAGGGCTGTATATTGTCCAGGTATTTGATATTTCACTCAGTCAATTTCCTGACCATGTCAAATAGTTCAATTCAGGGTAGGGGAAACTTATCCTTTGAACAATTTACGCTTTTAATGTGATTCTAATTCAATTACGTAGAAACAAGACCAGAACACAGTCATCAATTATTGAGCACAATTAACCTTTCATCATATTTGACACAGCCAGAAAGGTGAAACTAAGAATCAAAAAAATTAAACAATCTTTCTTTACATAACTCTTTCATGGCCCACACACTTCTTAGCTTAGTTCTGCAGGACGGAGGAGGGGAGTATGTATGATTACTACAATCTTACGTATTTCTGTCTCAAAAATTGTTATACTTATAACCAAAGACCAGATATTCATGCAGTAAAATTCCCTAAAACATGTGATAAAAACATGAACGTGCAAAAACATGCAATAAAAAGATCAAGACTTTGATAACTGGTGTTTTGCAGTTAATCCACTTATCAACTTATTTTTATATTTTGAATGGCATAATTAAGATTAATGAAATATTACAATTTAAGTGTTATTATAATCAAGTTTATATGTATTGTTTAAACAAATCATATTTGACATTTTAAATTACATTGAAAAAAATTAAACATTAAAAAGAATTGAAACATGCAAATATACCTTCAAAAATAAGAACTAATTGAGTTACACAAGAAATATTCTTAAGTGTGTATGTATATTTCCAAATGATTTTCTGAGAAATTATTATATTTTCTATCAATTAATATATGTTTCAGTGAGGAAAAACTTCACTCTCCGTTTAATTCATACTTGTCTGTGTGCTGAGCCTAACTGTTTTATATGTAAAACTGCTATTAAAATCATTCAAAAGCTGCATTCATTCTCTCTTGAACCTTCCAAAGCAACGTTTGTTCCGAGAAATTTGATGAATTTGAAATGCAGTGCAGCTTGTCACTAAGCTTCACACCTGGATGTAAGGTCAAATGCGACTCGCACACGATATCTCGAGTTTGCAAGTTCAGCGAAGTCTTAAAAAAACGGATTTATAATCCGAATGGAAAGATAAGACTCCAAACATAGTGTTTGCTGCGAGGCTGCAACCAAGGACCACAGACCTATCCCTGATGCAATAACTAAAATTTCAATTAGACAATAGGCATCATGAAACGTTTAGAGGCTCAGTTCATAGGGCAACAAAATGCAGAATTGATACGTATTAAAAAGCACACTAGTTGCACAGACCAGCCAAATGCACTGCATTCAAATTGTTTCTTAAATGTAACCATTAAAAATGCATAATGAAAACAAGTTGATAATGTAAAAATTATATTTTATGCAAAAGAAGTATGAATCTTTAAATTCATCCAGTAAAATCCCAAAATGTGCAATTTTCAGGCAGTATTACCTAAAATGTGCAATATTGTGCTGTAACCCATCCAAACATGCCATTTTGTTCAAAATGGAACACATACTAAAATAACATTCTTTTCATGATTAAATTTTTGTCAAGGTTTCATCCAATTTCAAGTTAGCACATAAAAGATGCAACACGAGAACCCAATCTTTACTTATAAATATAGAGTTTAAACGTCTAAAAAAATGAAATGATAGGCATCTATCCCTACCATGAGGCACATTATGATTCTTTATCTTCAGAGGGGCTGTGAAAAACACTGGGCATTGTACAGTATTTTGATATTATTTCTTGGGTAATGTGTATTGTAAATTGTGTAAAGTTCTTGCATTATGAGCTCCACAAATTTAAAATGGGATAACTTCACAAATGACTAAACAAATCATTATTAAGAAATTCCTTGAAGAAATTTCATTCATTTTTGCAAATTAATACAAGTGTGAGTAGTGATTCATTTTTACAAATATTTTTTACAAATAATAGAAGTGTGAGTAGTTTTGAAACGAAAAAAATTACAAACATTCACATGTGTTCTGTGCAGAAATGACTAAACAAATTTAAACAGAAAATTAAATTCAAACATTAATAATGAATGTCTTCAGAGTGGTTTAACTTGTAAAATGGAAGCTATTTCCTATAATACACTTGCATTTCGTGCAACACAATGACAACATGCAAAATTGGACATTAAAAATTAATAAAGTTGTTGATGTGAACACATTTAATAATTAAATCTCTGCCACTTATTCAAGCCTACCAGAAAGAAAGTACTCAAGAAGATAGAACAAAATAATTTTTGTAACGAAATTCACATTCAGAAGTGAAAATTTCAAGTAAATTAATAGCAATGAATTACTGAATAATTCCTACAAACATGATTCAAGAATATAAGTACGAACATTATATAGAGGAAGAACAAATTTTTCAAAAAAAATATTCCAAATAGAATGAATTATTTTGAGAACATCATTTGAATCTCCGAGATCCAAACACTTAAATGTCTACCTACACCTCTAAATTACAAATTTCATCTAAACATGAAATAGCAAACTTTTTCATTTAGGTTCCTTTAAGAACTGGGCAAATCATTTATCAAAGAAAGTTTGAAGAAAAAGTTGCAAATATAATTTTCTTCTCACTTAACTACTAACACATTGTAACTCTCTTCTTCCCATTGAAATCTATTTCACTAGAAATATAATAAAATTAACATTTACATTTGAGCGTCAAATTTAAATGTAATCAACTATCCTTATGAAGTACTTACAATGAAAAAGAGAGAAACTCCTCAAAACGTGTCCCAACTTTCTTGAATCATTTGGTAGAATTCGCCTAATTTAAAATTTTTTGTTAAATTTAGAATGTCCCAAAACTAGGAATTTATGAATCATTCCATGCAAAATTGAAAGTTTATGACAATGGGTTTTCAGATATTTTTGTTTACTAATATGGTAATACATTAATAATAAAAAGTTAGAGTGTCAAATATCAAAGTTATAGAGTAATAAACTACACAACAATATATTAGATATTAGCTTCATGAGGGTATACAGTCTAGTAAAAACTATTCTCAAATGCACCTACATCATAGGGGAAAATAAAAAGATACCATTGTACAGATAAATTAGAATTTTAAAGAGTACTAGATGCATTACTAGGAAATTTCATTAAAAGAAAATCCAGAAAATAACAAATTAAATAAATATTTACAACTCCAAAACCAACCTTTCATTTTTCGTGATTTTATGGTAAAAAGAAGATCAAGCCACAATTATGGTGTCAACTGAATTTTATAATGAAGTCTTGAAAAATTTTTCAGATATTCAAATTTAATTTTGAGAGTTGTATGTGATATTGGGGCAGGTGCCAGTGCTAAAAATTACACATTCTTACACCATGAACTGTAATATGATGTAGAGGAATCATAATGAATCTCGACATGTTAAAGATAAATACAAGTGGCTTCCAGCAAAAAGTGAATTTATGCAGCTATGCAAGCTAGTGAACAAAGGTACAATTGCTTCACAATACCTTAACTTGTGGATAACTTTAGTATTAACTATAGTATAGTGGAGTTGCTATCAATCTATTCTACAAAACCCCAAAAAGTGAAGTACAAGGAAAGTCACACATGAGAAATAAGTAAGAAACTGCCTAATTTAAAAGTGGGTGATTTCCTATGCATATTTAAGATTTCAAAACAAACCAACACAGCTAACTGACAGATCCAAGAATATTACGGTCTAAGTCAGTTCTGAGAACTTGTCAATAATTTCACTGTCTGCAAACATTTAAAGTCCACAATTTTAAAGCAAAAGTGAAGTTCACAAATTACAAAAACAAAAAAATAATTATTAAATGGAGATAATTCATTCTTATTGAAGATTATTTTGAAAATTACATATTTATTAACCAGGTTGCTATTCAAGGAGCACCATTAGAATGAGCAACCGAACATATGTTTGTATTTTATTATGGATGTTTGATGATCAGATATTAAAACGTGTACCTACTTTTTTATTTCAGAGTACTTTTCTATTTCAGTACATGATGGAGTGGGAACAGGATGTTTTCAGAAAAACTTATTACCAATCTATTTTTCTGGAAATAAGGAAATTCTGGAAATTTTCTGGAAATATGAAAATTTAGTACACATAACAGAGCAACCACACAAAACAAAGGTAAGAACTTTATTAATTTACTGCATCATAAGACAGATTTTGAAACATTAGCTGCTGCATTTCTTTGCTATGAGTCATAGCAGGGCACCTATGACAGTGTAATAAGAACAATTAAGAGACTTCATATGTATGCTAGCATTCAGGAAACTCCGTGCCAAAGAACTCTTCAAATCTGTGCAGAATTAGCACACTGCAGGAGTTCTGTTTTCATTTACAACACGAATATGTCAAAGAAACCAAAATGTTTAAACACCAACAGGTTCATAACACTAAAAACTGTGCCAGAAACCTGCAACACCCGCAGTATTCTAATTTAAAGGTGAAAACCAACATTCCTGTCAAAGAGTAAGATAAACTTTCATCTGAAGATCCTAGAGAAGTAGTTTTGCAGAGGACTCTAAGAAGACATCTAAGACACAGATTTTGTAGGCCTGCTGTGCTGCTTGCTACATGGAATTTCACAGTGTTTATTTGCACCAAATTTTGAAAGAACTCAAGTAAAGCCATTTAAGGGGGCCAAAACGAATAAATCAAAAGGTTGTTATTTTTTGTTATAAACATCTTCAATTTTATTTATTTTTTTCTATGAAAAATAAAAATATAATAGTAATTTTTTAACCAAGGGAATTATCTAATGACTGAGTAGTGAAAAAAAGCCCTAAGGCCTTATCTAGATTTATAACTTCAAAATTTTTCCCGACTTCTAACGATTCTTCTCACTACTTCTCTGTTTTTCCCCTCGACCTTCCCAGAGGAATAAAAACCCCGATTTTCCCTGCTTTTCCATATTTTCCAGAGTGGGGGCATCCTGTTTATAGAAAGGGTCCCATAAAATGAAGAGATTCTATTCCTCTTATAAAAATCTCAGGTTTAAACAGACTAAAAAAATAACTTTTTAAATAAATTTTATGTATAATTTACAATTTCAAAGCGTACATAAATGAAATTAAGATAATATATAAAACTACTTTCCCCTTATCACCAATAATGTATTTTCTTCAAAATCTTTCAAGAACTTTATGTCTGATTACAATTAATTCCCAATCAATTCAAGAACATCAAAGGCAAGTATTCAATTACAAATTCATACAATGAAATATAAAGCTGAGTAAAATACATCAAAATTTAACTTTTAAACATTAATTAAAGTAAGATCAGAGTTAATATATTAAATATGAATCACATTAGCAAAGTATGAAATGCAAATAGGGAATTCTTCATTTCTTACCAACTAAGATCTGCTCCGCTTCCATGACTGCATAAAAAATATACAGAACAGAAGTTATAGTTATAAATATACATATATAAAAGATTATGATTCATTTCATAAAATGAGTTCTAAGTAAACAATTAGATTTGACCATGATAAAACTGCTATCACAAATTCATTAAAACAAATTCCTAATAATAATATGTAGCACCACAACCATGTAGCACAGATCTCACATAAATTAAAGCCAAAAAACAAGTATAGCAAATACAACAAAGCAAGGTTATTTCTCAATGTTCTAGGTTTCTTTAAAATTCCAACTAAATAGCTTTAAAGTTCACAAGATTTCTACAGGTATACTACTTCAGAATACTCCTTACAAGATCTGATTCTGTAGAAAGAGGTACCTTCCTATCAGGTACAACATTCCACAAAAGTCTGGGTGTTATTAGGAGTTGCTGCGTCACTCAAGAGGATTATTATGTCATATTGGTCCTAGGTTGGTGTATTTGATTGGAAAATTATTTATAACAATTACTATATTATTTTTTATGAATAATTAATTTTAAAATATTGTAAGAACCATTTCATCAATTATGCTCTTTGACTTCTAAGGTACATTTGACAACTAAACTAACAATCAAGTGGCATCAATCCAACAACATCAAAAACAAAGTACAAGATGTCAGACATTTTGACTATTAGTTCAACTTTCTATATTATTTGATTCAGTTGACTATTAGTTCTACCTTCTATATTATTTCATTAAAAAAAATGAGAGGCTTAAAGAGAATGAATGCACTGTTCACCATCTAGCAGATCAATCTCCATTTCTTGGTATGGAAAATCACTGTTATATTTTGAATGCATTGATAACTAGGGTCTGTAAATATGTGCAATATTAACTGGCAAAATACGTACATAAATATGTAATGAAACTGATAAGAATATGAAACAAAGATGAAAAAAGTTACGTAATATGTAATATCAAAATACACTATTTATAGTAATTTTGCAAAAATTGAATTTACATTAATAAAATATTTAGTAAGCCAATTTTAAAAATAATTATTGCTTTTTTCTACTAAATTCAAATTTTTTAAGTCCATTTTTATGATCAAGACCAATGATAGCCATCGTACCAAGGTGGAATCTCAATAACAGGCAAACAATTGTCGTTTGTATTGATTGTATTGAAGCATTGTCTTTTGTAATGATTGTATTGAAGCACTGTCTTTTGTATTGATAAACATCTTCAAAATCCAATACCTCTTTTAAATTGGTTTGAAGGAAGAAACATGACGACCCTGATAATTCCCATGCCTAAATACAACCTCAGTGCTCACGTGCAATTGTCACAACCTACACGCAGTGCAGATGAAGGTTTCAGCTACAACTCAGACACACCATGAGCATCTGACTGCATCTTCAAGCGGGGCACCTAGCATCATCAGCGCGCAATTCTGAATATGGTAAGAAAAAGTGCGAATGTTTTAAATTAAAAACACATTTTTGCACTTTTTTTTTTTGGTAACTAAATCTTAAGAACGTTGGGAGAAAAATGTTTGCAGAGTGAGTAAAATATATGTAAAATGTGTAATATAGTTAAAAATATATAACAAAAATTTTGTTTATTGTATTAGAATTACCCGGATTTGCTAAGAGTACTACATTGACAACTGAAGAAAGAATAACAAAAATATGTAATTACATAAGAATCCAGTCTCTACACAACACTTCACAGTTCATAAAAATAAAAGGAATTGATTGTAAATTGTTTGCAAAGTTTTTTTTTATTTCTGTGTATTTCAATAATAATAATAATAATAATAATAATAATAATAATAATAATAATAATAATAATAATAATAAAACAACGGTTGTGATGATGATATTTATCATCATCATCATCATCATCATCATCATCGAGTCGTAAGCAAAGAGGCAGAGAAACATCTAATATACAAGAATTTTAAAATTGAGATAAATTTACTGTGGGGCATAAAAGCACAAGTTGTCCCGATGGTTATTGAAGCTCTGGGATTTGTTCGGCAAAATTTGTATAAGTAGTAGATTTTATAATCAACTGACTCATGATATCTTTAGTTGTTAATTAGATGAGATTAATAATATTAATAATAATATTAATAATATTAATAATAATATTAATAATAATAATAATATTAATAATAATAATATTAATAATAATAATATTTATGAATAATTAATTTTAAAATATATGTATTAGTAACCATTTCAATCCACATTTATGCTCTCTTTGACTTCTAAGGTCACTTTTACAACTCAACTAAGCAATCAAAGTGGGCATCATTCAACAACATCAAAAACAAAAGTACAAGATGTTGTCAGACATTTTTTTTGGACTATTTCTAGTTAAACTTTGCTATATTCTTATTTTGGATTCAGTTGACTTATTAGTTCCACCTTCTATTATTATCTTCATTAAAAACAATCGATCGACGCGCTTAAGAAGAAATGAATGCCCTGTTCATTCCTCCTAGTCAGATTTCACATCTTCCATTTCTTGGTATTTGCGAAAATCCTGTTTATTTGAATGCTCATTGCATCAACTAGGGTCTTTGTATTATCATGTTGTTCAATATTAAATGGGCAAAACTACTTCGTACATACAATATGTAATTGAAATCTGTCAACGAATATGAAACAAAGATGAAAAAGTTATTCTGTCACATATTGCTTAATATCAAAATACACTTATTTATCAGTAATTTTGCAAAAATTGAATTTTACATTAATAAAATATTTAGTAAGCCCCTCCCAATTTTTAAAAAACTCAATTTATTGCTTTTTTCTCATCTATTTACTCTTCTTCAATTTTTTAAGTCCATTTTTATGAATCTATAGTCTATCTAATGGTTGCCATCTCGTTACTAAGGTGGTCAATTTCTTCTCAATAACAGGCCTAAACAATTTCGTCCGCTCTTGTATACTTGAATTCGCTATTGAAGCATTGTCTTTTGTAATGATCTCGTATGTACGCACTGTCCTTTTGTAATTCGATACCAACATCTTCAAAATCCAATACCCTCTTCTTCATCACTTCTTGGTTCATTCTTCTTGACAGAATTATCGAAACATGACGACACGGCTGATAATTTCTCCAATGCCTAAATACAACCTTCCAGTGCTTCAGGTGCAATTTGTCACAACCTACACGCAGTCGCTAGATGACAGGTTTCAGCTTGTCAACTCCCAGACACACCACGTGAGCATTCTGCACTGCAATCTTCGCGGGTGCACCTAGCATCATCAGCTCGGTCGCACAATTCTGAATTATGGTAAGAAAAAGTGGCGAACTCGCTTATATAATTAAAACCACCATATTTTTTCTGCAAGTTTACTTTTTTCTTCTTTGGTTAACTTAAATTCTTAAGAACGTTGGGAGAAAATGTTTGCTTACGCAGTGTGTATAGTAAATTATGTCAAATGTGTACATATTTATGTTATATACCATTCATTATATATTTCATACTCAATCTCTGTTTATTGTACTCTTATCGCAATTTACTTCTTGCTCCGGATTTGTAAGACGTTACTACATTGATCCACTACCTGAGCAACAGTAATCTAATGCAAAATATGTATTATCATTACATATAGACATCTCCAGTCTCTCTACTTCCAACATACTCTCTTACAGTTCATAAAACTCTAAAGGGAATTGATTGTCTATTAATCTGTTTCTGCTAAATTGCGTTTTTTTTTATTTCTGTGTTATTCTACTAATTTCTTCATTAATAATAATAAATATCATTCTCACATTATACATAATATAATTAATCAATTCACACTCATAATAATTAAATAAAACACCTTGGTTGTGCATGATTCGATCAATTTTATCTCTCATATCCATCTCATCCATCACTCTCTCAATCATCTTCATCATTTCGTTACGTTGTAAAGTCAATATTAGTTATGGCGTCTACGAGCACACATCTAATATACAAGAATTCTTAAATATTGTAGATAAATTTAGTGTCGTTGCTCTTCATTTAAACAAGCCAACATAGTTTGGTCCGTTGCGTTATCTGTCGTCTCTCTATTGAGTCTCTCTGGGATTTGTTCGGACTCTCTCTTCGTCTGCAATTAATATTGTATATTCTTCTTATTGTTCGTAAGATTTTCTTATAATCCACTGTACTTTTCTTACTGATCCTCTTCTAGTTGTTAATTTGAGATGAAGATATAATAATACTTAATAATTAATATTAATCAATAAAATAATAATATTTAATAATTAATAATAAATAATAAATAATATAATTAATAATTCAATCATATTCAATAATAATAAATAAATAATAATAATATATAATAATAATTCAAATAAATTCTCTCAATAATTACATCTATGCTTCAAATCAATAATTAATAAATTTTAAGAAAATAAAACAGGCAAAGGGGTTGTTACAACTCTACGAAATTAGGATGTGGCAATGCCATTCTACAAAACATGATAAGAACTTTTTTTCTTTCTTTTTTTCTCTCTTTTCTTTTTTTTTTTTTTTTAGTTTATTTTTTGTTACCTTTAGCATAAGAACTTAGCCTAACTTTCTCTCAGATTAATTTTTTTGGCAAGACTTTTCATCAATAATTGCTTGAACTTGGGCAGAACTACATGCCAGGAAAAGGTGGTTTGATGATTCCTACGGTGCAAATGAGCACTCTTCCGGTGTTTCAAAATTTTCTGCAACTGACGGTTTGGGGGATCTGGGGTTTTCGATTGAGTATACACACTGCTTAGAGCCAGTTTTTTCTGACTGGCACGCAACATCTGTTGTTGGATTCATGTACTTCAATCTAAGTTGCTCTGTTCAGTCCACTGTATCCAGTTCATATGCTCCTAAACATCACACGGTCGCCATGGTGTGGCTCTCTGGGTCCCCGTTCCGCACTTAAAACTTCTGTGAAAAAGCATGCAGTCCAAGACAGCGGGTAGTTAAAATCACAGTCTCAGTTTTATGCCCGTCAACAAGAAATGCCTGCTGAAATAAAGTT